CTAAATAGAATATAAAAATATTTTCCTCTGAGAGTAATTAATGTTTCTGACCATGAAGACTGTCACATGATGTGTCACTGTGGCAGTAAGTGAATGACGAGAATACAGACTCCAGGTATATTGAGATGTTCAAAGCCTTGCTTTTGTCACAGTTGGGTGATTAAGTCATTTTTAGAATTTGGACTTCTCAGGGGCAGGTTTTTACTTTTTGATTCAAAATACTCTTTTCCCAACACTGTTCAGTTACATAATAAGATGAGTGCATGTACAAAGTCATGCCTTTTTAGTAGAAAATACAAAATCTTATCCTTCATTTTTGAAGTTAGTTATTCATGATATTAGTAATTCTGGACAAAGCAAAGAAGACATTGCCAGAGTATTTTCTAGGCAGAATAAAAATGTAGCTTGCTCTTATGTGAGTAGTTTGTTATTAAATATAGCTTTGGTCTCCCCGCCCCCATGAACTCTGTTAGTTTGTTTACAATCTACCACCCTCTCTTTAAATGTTAGACTCCAAATGATTGTGTATTCTGCAGTTATATTTTTCTGGTTTAGTGTCCTGGCCTGAAATCGTATGCCTCTCCCTGCTTTGACCCATTCGGCTTTGACCTAGGCTTCCAGGATGAGATGTGCTTTACCTTGGCTCAACAGAGAGCACTGATTAGGCGGCCTTCTGCCATGCACTCCCTACACATACCGCCTAGCCTGGGCACATGGGGCTGGCTGCCCTCCAGAACCTCATCCTGGAAGCAGCTGTCCTCACGGGGAAAGATGAATTCGATTCATCTGTAAATAATTTCAAGGAGTTGGACTTAATGTCACAGAGAGGTCAAAGCCTCAATCACATTTAAAGTGTGATATGATGGCATCTTGAAAAATATATAACTTATCTGGCAGTCCTGTGTGTCTAAAAGAATAGAGACCTTGGATATGAGCAGATGTGTTTTGGAAATCCTGGTCCACTGTATTTTTAGCTGTGTAATACACATACTAACCTTAAAGTTCCAAGCATGTTGCCTGGCACATCAAGTAGGTTCTTAATAAATGTTAGTCCTCCTTGAAACTCTATTAAATATTTACCATATGCAAGACTGAGATGGATCACTGGAGTAGATGAAGGTGTCAAAACATTATCAGGGGAATGCTCAGGGTGCTTTCCCTTCCACAGGGACAGTACTGGGGAATTCTAAGCTGAAATATCAACCAGAATGTGAAAAATGCTGTATTACAAGTCTGGGAAAATGGGAGTTTAGAGAAATGGTAGAATGCTGTTAGTGGGAGGATAAGAAGTAGAAATTGAAATAAAATATGAAGAAATTCTTTTATTTTCTTGCACACTAGTCACTGTAATTTGGACTTCTCAGGGATAGATATAAATACAGACTATATATTAATTTTTATTTTTAGTGCTGGGAATTTGGGTGTTCATCTAATGGATGAGAAATAAGGTGAACAAATGAAATTAATATGGGACATATTTTGGGAATTGCTAATCATTAAAATTGGATAGAGTAGAGCACACATTAAAGGGAAGGTAGGAAATAATCTGGAAGACAAGGCTAGGACATAAATGAGACATGCCCTATAGAGGAGGGGGATCCTAGCTATGGGTCAGAAATCTTCCACTCCTTTCTAACTCTGTTGACAAGGGATGGCAGAGCCTCAATTTGCTCATTTGTAAAATGAAAGGATCAGGCATGTCTTTTAACATATAAAATTATTTGTCAAATTTATTATTATATAAATTTGGTTGTTATAAAATGACAAATATTTTTCATGGAAAAGTTTTTTTTTTAAAGGGAATATTTTAAATCTTGAAAATGGAAGTAACTTGAGAATACTTTGGTATTTGTTTCAATGCTACTTTATTATTTTAAGGCAATAAATTTAATAATACTATCTAGGATAGTCTGAAGGAAAGAAAGACAATGAAGTCAGGAGAATAATTTGAGTTTGGGCATAAAAGGTTACTGGTAATTTTTTAAAGAGAGAGAGAATCATCTGAGAGATATTAGATCAAAACCAAAAGGACTTGGGACATGATTGAATATCAAATCTGAAGCTAATGAGCATAGGAAGTATTAACCTTTTCTTTTGGGTATACATTTCTTTTATGTTAAGCCATGTAAGTAACCTGGTTTCATTCTGATTTACTAGGGAGAGAACTGCAATGCATGTTGGGCTTCTAGTGACATAGATTGTCACATGTCACTCATCCAACAAACACTGTGGACCTAGTATGTGATGAGTACTGTTCTAGGTATTGGGGACATACCAGAGAATAAGACAGGGTCCTTGCTCTCATAGAGCCTACATTCTATACTTGGTAATGATGGGGGAGAGAGACATCAAACAAATGAAGAAAACAGCAACTAGAAAAAAGTAAAAAAAAAAAAAAAATGAAAATGAACCCAGTTGATGTGGTAAGCAGTACCTCGGACACTAGGGGAGGATACCCCAAGGAAGATGCACTTGGGTTTAGTGCTGAATGACTTAAAGAAATAGCAACATGGAGTAGTAGGACAAAGACATTGGAGGAGGAGAAAACAGGGCAGATGCCTAGGGTTGGGTTAGTATGCCTTGATGTGTTTCAGGAATTGAAAGAAGACAACCTGTAAAGGGCAAAGTGAGCTAGGGTGAGGTTGTAGTCAGAGAGTAGATGGGAATATATGTTAGTTCACAGTATAGTGTCAACTCCCAAAACTCATTCACAATCTCTTCTTGGCTTTGTTGAAACTTAGCAGGCAGGTATATAACATCAGTCACAGCTGAAATAATAAAACCACATTCATTCTATTTTTTTTTCTATCAATACTGGGAAAATGTAAAACTATCATTTTTTTAGAGGAGAAAAATGGAGCTTAAAATTGTTCAGCTACTTGCTCAAGGTCACACAGCTTGTACATGACACAGCCAGGATCCAAATCAGGTCTTATGATTCCAGGACCAGAGCAGTTTTCACTTCCCACGGTGTCACTTTCCTTTCTTATGTAATCCTAAAAGAATAACAGAGAGTTACTGACCTCTTATCAGAGAGTCTGCAGGAGAAGTGTCTGTAACTGGAGATAGATATTTTAGCCAAATGACAATGTGAGTCCTCTACTTATGGAGGAGGAAGTGACATGCACTTGCCTGCACTAAGGGCCAGGGTTAGGGAGATACAGAGGAGAACTTTATAGATAGAAAGATTATGTGTTTATTTCCTCTTGCCAAAGACCCTGAAAGCAAAGACCCTTTGCTTTCCAAACAACATGATTTGATGACTTTCCAACAAATCACTTTTATGTATCTGGACTGAATGAAATATGCCATTAGATACCATGACATTTTAAACACAAACATGAAATATGATAAACATACCGACATTTACTCATGGGCACTATATTAACTATTTCTGCACTTTGCCCCTCCATTAAGTTAACTGCCAGGCTAGGGCCATTAAAATCCAGCTTTCTTCCCTCAATTACAGCCACACATTAACCGTATTTCAGAAAAGACTAGAAACATTCCTATTAGTGTCTCCTCTCCTTCCTGTTCCCATCCTAAGGGCTCTCTGCTTTTTGCAACTTTGAGTTCTGAATATGCTTATCTCAGAGCCAGTTGGGATCTCTGTTTATGATGCATCCCCAAACCCAGAATCCGTTTAAATAAGAGCCCTAGTTATAGAGACATATTGTACTTTTCTTTCAGAGAGCAGCATTTGCTGCTTGTTGGGGGCTTTCTGACTGATGCGCGCAGGGGCGGGGTGGGGGGGATGAAGGAGAGTTGGCTGGCGTTTGGGAGCAGATTTAGAGCCGCTTCTCATTGGAGGGGCTTGCTTTTCCTGAGCTGCCAGACACTGCAGGCTCAACTGAGGCGCGGAGGTGCAATTCAGGCTGGTGGAGCAGCGGGGGAAGGCAGGGACAGGCGGGGCTAACGCGGCTCTGCAGCTGATCACACGCACCAGCACACACACCTCATTCCCGCCGCCCCAGCTTGCGCCTCTCATCCTGCACCCCGGCGTGGACAGGGAGTAGGGTACCTAGGAAGGGAAAGGCAAAGGTTCAACAGTGAGGCAGAGGAAAAGCTGGAGCGGCGCTAGTGTTCAACCTGAAAGTCTGACCTGCAGCCCAAGGCTCCAACCTTGTCCAGCAGCACGGCTGTCGACTGGAAGGAGGGCACCGCGCCAAGGAACCCAGAGTCTCGCTCCTGAGCCTGCCTGGGGTCAACGCGCTAAGATCTTCTGGCGAGGACAGTGTGGTGCCCTCAGGGAAGTGCGGAGCTTAAGGGACCGGCATTGAAGCTCTTCAGGGTACCTCAGGAAAAGTGGGAAGGAGGAAAACAGCCCCGAACACCGGGTGCGAGGCCAGGCTGCTGCTGCCTCTTGCAGTGCGGACTCCTGCCCTCTCCCTCTGGGTGAGTGCCCCGGCTTCCAGCACTCGCCTAAGAGCGTGGGTGGCTAGGGGGCCTTTGAGGGTCCACCCGAGGGCCCTGGTGGCGCCTGTGGAAACTCAGCCGCCCGCTCACGTCAGGCGAGCAGATCTCTGGAGTCCAGAGCGGGGGATTCTGAGCCACGAGGGCGTGGGTAGGGGGCGTTGCACCACTGCCCAGCAGAAATGTCTTTGGGCGGGATTTTGGCTAAAAGATAGGAGGCGGGAGCGCCAGGGGCAGCCGAGAGCCGTCCCGGCGGGCAAGAGATCAGGGAGCAGCGGGGAGGGGGGAGGGTCTGGTCCAAGCAGGTAACGTAGCTTTGGCAGCCTGGGGAGTTGGCAGGTGGGGTGGGACTTGCCTATCAAGTCCTTAATTTTAAGCAGTCAGTTTGGAGGCGCTGCAGGATAGTCAGGAGGACAGTGGAAAGGTAAGAGGTGGCCCGGGATGCCGCTGGTGGGGGAAGAAAAGAGGACCCTGGAAAAGCTTGGAGGCAAAATTGCACTTGGGTTTCTGGTCCTTGCATCCCTCCTGCCTTGAGTGCGGGAGAACACTTTTTGTTTTAATACTCAGCTTGGAAATAAAGCCTCCGTCCCAGGGGAGGAAGAGGATTCTGCAGGGGGCAGAGACCGCAGCTACCTACAGGGTGTGCCCCCCACACAACGAGCGCCCGCTTTTGCCCCTTCCCCCACCCCCACCTTTTTATTGGTGCTGGTTTGCAGCGCTTGGCTCCTGCGCCTTCGCTTCGCGTTTGAATCTGGCTCGCCCCTCCATATTATGTCTGCAATCCGAAGGAAATTTGGGGACGATTACCAGGTAGTGACCACCTCGTCTAGCGGCTCAGGCTTGCAGCCCCACGGGCCGGGCCCGCAGCAGCAGCTTGTGCCCAAGAAGAAGCGACAGCGGTTCGTGGACAAGAACGGCCGGTGCAATGTGCAGCACGGCAACCTGGGCAGCGAAACAAGCCGCTACCTCTCGGACCTCTTCACCACGCTGGTGGACCTCAAGTGGCGCTGGAACCTCTTCATCTTCATCCTCACCTACACCGTGGCCTGGCTCTTCATGGCGTCCATGTGGTGGGTAATCGCTTACACTCGGGGCGACCTGAACAAAGCCCACGTTGGCAACTATACGCCTTGCGTGGCCAATGTCTACAACTTCCCCTCTGCCTTCCTCTTCTTCATTGAGACCGAAGCCACCATCGGCTATGGCTACCGATACATCACCGACAAGTGCCCCGAGGGCATCATCCTCTTCCTCTTTCAATCCATCCTGGGCTCCATCGTGGATGCCTTCCTCATCGGATGCATGTTCATCAAGATGTCCCAACCCAAGAAGCGCGCCGAGACCCTCATGTTTAGTGAACACGCGGTGATCTCCATGAGGGACGGAAAACTCACGCTCATGTTCCGGGTGGGCAACCTGCGCAACAGCCACATGGTCTCCGCGCAGATCCGCTGTAAGCTGCTCAAAGTAAGTTCTCCCCTCCCCTTCCCCACCAAGCGACTGCCATCCCACTAGCAGAGAGATTAACTCACCTGAGAAACACCTTCCCCTATTAAACTTGTCACCTCTGGTAAACTTCTTGGGGGTGGGGGTGGGGGCGGGAGAGAGGAGGGAATTGGGTGAAGAGCACAGTTGTCATTTTTTTTTTCTTTTCCTACTCACTCTTTTGCTCTTATTTATATCCATCATTTTGGGTGTGCTTGCATCACTTTCTGAACTAGTAACACTTAAGGAGTGGTGGTGTGAGCTCCTGGAACCTTGAGGGAAATCAGTACCTTCTTCTTCTTCTCCTACTCCGATGCTCTGCCATTCTGAACGCTTTTGATTTGTTATCAACATATAACTCCATTAAACTTGAGGTACTAAAATGAAACCGAACAGGTTTTATTTAGAAGAAATAGGTGCTGAACTTGCCTTAACTCCACCCCCCCCCCCCAATAATATTAGCAGTCGGATTATTCCTCTGGACCCAATAAGTTTAACTCTACCTGTGTTCAACTTTTAAACACACAGATCCAGGAAGCAGTTAATAAAGTGGAAGAAACACCACACCTGGTTCTTTTAAATTTTAACTTTTATTAAATATTTTCTTAAAGAAATATCATATGGAAATCTGAGTGCTTTTCCTGTAAAGCCTCTTGTTAATTTTATTCTTAATTGCCTGTTTCTATGAAGCCTTTGTCAATTATAGATTTCACTTGAAGCTTTTCAGCATCCATTAAAGAAGATTGCTTCCTACCATCAGTAGTGTAAATGCTAAAACAAATTGCACATGGAGTGGTTATTAAAGCAAGGTTCTTGTACTCGTTAGGGGGCACCACCAGGAACAGCAGTCCTCCCTAGTCACTTATCATACTGCTGCTGCAGGGAAAGAGGGATTAAAGCCCAGCTCTCTTTCTAGGTGTCATTTACAATTCATATAATTTTTTGAGGGATTTGCCCAAGTAGTTTTCTAATGTTCATAAATTGAAAATGATGACCTCAAATAAATAGTTCAGAAATTGAAAAAGATTTATTTATGATTACATAAAGAACCATAGCCAGATTCATAATTTGGTATTAATAAAATAGCAGTTTGATAATTATTTAATGAGGTCTTTGTTTTTGAAATTTTATTTATTTTTTTTACTGTATGAGTATATATTGTTTTACATAAGCCTCAACTTATGTTGTGGTTAAATTGATCCAATGTACTTTATGAAAGTTTTGCTCTTATGTTATTTTCATTATTCACCTATAAGATCTTATGCTAATTATGCTTGACCAAGTTGCTCAATAAAGTGTTTGAATTAAAGAAATACTCTTGACCTGTCACTTCACATGTGTGTATTTACAATGCTATATACAGTAAATATACTATATTTTGTATCTCAGAGTGTGAAATTATCAGCCTGGCTCTGATTTACATTTTCATTAAAATAACTATTAATAACTATTTTTAGTAGATTTCATTTTTATAACTAACCCTAATGAACTGTATATAACTTTTAAATTTAACTTTGCATATTGTTTTACTGACCAGTGTTTGAATTACGTGGCTTGGTGTTTCAAATCAGGCAGTTGTGTTGCAGATACATTTATTTTTGTGATAATTATTGTATGTGCTTATTTCTATGCCTAGAACAAGATATGCATCTCTCTCCTCTTTTTTTTTTTCTTTTTTAGGTTAGGCCTACTGAGCAGATAGAAACACTTTAATTTTTAGAATAGCGCCAAAGTCTCTATCAAGAAATCCATGTTTATGCATCACTTTGAGATTCTTAGTGAAGTGTAATTTACCTCATTGTTCAGTGGAAATTGAAAACTAGACTAAATAGGTTATTTATTGTTATTGTATAGTTTTTCAAATATATAAGATTATTTATTAAAATGGATATCTTTTCAAGGCAACATGTTTTAGCTGTTATAAAATTTTATTTTAACGAAGGAAGATAGAATTCATCTACATATTAGTTACACCCCCCTACACACACAAAGGTAAAATAAGTCTGAAGCCCCCAGTCTCTACAGTGGTAGGTCACTGATAACGATTGTTCTGCATAAGGTCATGAATCACATATACTGTAAGCAGAGTCTTGATTAAAAATAAAAGATGTATAGTGTTGACAAATTTGGAGCAAGGTGCTATATTAACACAAGGTGATAAAAACAACATCTAATTAAAATAATAGGAAAATACTCCTATGAAATCCTTTACTGTTGATTTGTTAGTAAGATGTCAGTGTTGGAAGTGAGATGATTGACATGTGATATTAAATTTATATTTAAACAAAATTATAGTGAAATTCTCTAGTTTTTATGAAGAAAAGGAGTTGATCAATGGCAGTTCTTCATACCAGCCAGTTAGTGTAGCTTGTTTGAAGTTGTTTTTTCCAGTAGCCATGGTAATTAAAATGAATTCTTTTAGATCTTATAAATTCTTCAGACTTCATGTTTTAAATTAGGGAACTTATAACATTCAGCAAAATTGGAGTGGAGATTTGGCTTTAATAAATTGCTTTCATTTTCTATTAGGGACTAAGTTGAAGTGACCTAAAACAGTCAGCTATGTAATAAGAGAAAACCTATACCAAATCTTTAAGTTGTAATATTTTGTTATCAGTTTTATACACTCTTCTTACTAAATAATATTATGTATAGTCAGTCTCCTGTTTTAAACCCCACAAAATTTTAAGTGTATAAAGTTTATGTGTCTTTAACACAGAATATATGTTCTTTTAAGGAAAAAAATACATTTAAAAAAATTTATTTGAATAAATACATTTAATGATAATAATTATAGCACACAAATATTCTTCCTATGACCTAATATCACATTTTAATGTCATGTTTTTCTTATTTGCTGAATAAAAGCTTCTTTATTAGTATAAATAGTAGAGTCTTGCTCAATAGTTATAAAGCACTGTTGGATTCTTAAGAAGACACTTGAAACATGGATATGACTTTCTAATACTTGCTAATTTTTCATACATAATTATTTTGGATTCCCTAATTTTGATGGAAATTTTCCCCTAACTTCTCTACTTCATTTTAAATTGGGATTTTAGCTTATATCAAAGTAAATTTTATATTAATTCTATTCCTGACTTTCCAGCTTGAAAATATTGAAATTTCTTTCAGTAATCAAATATAGATCTTCCAACTCTATGCCTGGAGAGGCCAGTCCTCTTTTACTCAAAAATAAAGTAGATTAAAAAAAATAACAGGATATAGCTTTGAATTTATTATTTAAAATCTATAATTTATGTGTAAATAGAGTTATAGAAAGCTGTTTTAAGGTAAATATTTTAATCTTTTCCTCCTCTCATGGCCATATTGATATTTAACTTAATTATTAATTTATTTTAGTTGTGTTAACATAGAGAATAGGTATTAATTAGAATTGTGGATATGCTAATTCAATGTATTCATGTAGAAAATTAGGATGTGTAGGTTAAGGAGTTGAGGTCTCTATTACTCAAATGCTATAGCCTGTAATTTTGTATTGGGTTTAAAAGATTTAGAAATCTCACATATTCCTTTTTATTCATATAACATTAAAAGTTGACTGCCATGGATACACAACTTGTTATAAGAAGAATTAAGTAATCTTTAATGCACTGCTGAATAATGTACAAATTTATTATCCAAAGGCTCTCATATATCTGCATATATGTATGTGTCTCATATGTGCTTGTATTTGCCCAAAACTTTTTAAAATAATGCAAACATACAGTCAACTGTGGTTGCATCTGTATTTTCAAACAGACAATAATGAGTTTTTCTCATGGAAGCATAATCATATTCCTTCATATTTACATTCATTGCCAATAGTCATCTTTCTTTCTTAGGAGGTCAGCTGTGCACATTTTAAATTTCATTTATTGAAAGGTAATAGAGTGCATTCCTTTCCTCTTCTAACATCATGTGCATTATTTTTATACATATTTTTTCTGGTATCCATTTATATGGGTATTCATGGTTAGATGCTTTGTTGTTTTTCCCATATGAATGTGATCAAGTGCAGATGCAATAAAACATGTTTTCTGCAAAACCATTAAGTACTTTATTATCATCTTCATATATCCTGACTTTTTTTTTTCACTATAGGGATCTAACTCAGTACCTTGCATTTGCTCAGCAAGTGCTCTACCACTGAGCTACTTACTCAGACCTGTCCTATCTTAATATTTTATTAACCTTTTTTAAAATTTTTAGTTATAGATGGACACAATACCTTTATTTTTATGTGGTGCTGAGGATGGAACCAAGTGCCTCACATGTGCCAGGCAAGTGCTCCACCACTGAGCTACAACCCCAGCCATTTTATTAACCTTTTAAACATAATTATTTCTAAACCAAAAGATTTTTGGATATTACTCTTGTATTTATTGACTTATCTTCATTCCATATCTTAAACTTAAATGTGATTATGTTTTTGACTCTATGTGACCCTTGTAACTGACTTTTCACCAATTGACCTTAATTTTTAACTTAAATTTATTATTAATCTTGAGACAATTATTTCCTTTAAAAAATTAAATTCTCATATATAATACACATATATAATATACCGTTCTTCTGAACATGGTCTAAGGTGTTAGCAAAAATACTCAAGAGGTCTAAGACTGAGTACTTCAGATTTCTCAGGGGTAAGATCTCCATTTTGTTGGCTAATTTTTAATGGATTCATTCTGTCTTTAAAAAAATAGCACAGTTACTATTTAGCCTAGCTTGCTTTCTATGACATAAGTACAATAATTCTCTAATAAGTATAGATCTTGGGTTCTTTCTAAAATCTATAATTATTATCCCTTTTTCCAATAGTAGTAATATATTTTGTTCTGCTTCTTTTATTTATTTATAATATGGTTCCTAAAATGTACAGGGTGGTACTCAGAGTATAAAGTATGAACAGAAATAAGGACTTAATGACCCACAAATAAACAGCAGTAGGTAAGAACAAATGATAAAGAGAAGTAAGAAAA